TACCAGGAAGTATGTTTTTCAACTTGGTCCCATACTCCTCATCTCTTTCAGGTACCCCAATCAGTTGTAGGTTTGATCTCTTTACACAATCCCATATTCTCGGAGGTTTTGTTCATTCTTTTTCATTCATTCTTTTTATTAAAACTTTGCTTTGTTCAAACCTATAGCATATAGGTAATGACAACATTGTTTAAAAGGCTATTTTGGATCTTCATTTTCAACTTCCATTTCTTTGTTGTTGTTTTTATCTCCTGCTGCTTTCTCAGAGGCTTTTTTAGCATAACACTTCCACTCCTCGCCAATTCAAGGGGAATGCACCAGGGCGCCATATGCTCTCAGCCGCCCTTGCAGCAGCAGGGATAGATTTGTTCATGCCTCACCCTCTCTCTCCAGTTTTTCTTTAGGTCAGGTGTATGAGACCTGGGTGAATGTTGTGGCTATGGAACAGGACATAGCCAAGTGATTCATTCATTTCATGTGTTAACCCCCTGGGCTGTGAGCCAAGGACAATGTGAAAGCTACACAGAATAAATCCTTTAGAATTTCTGTTCCTTGTTAAGAGACATGCAGGAAACAAAATTATATAACTGCATAATAGTGTTCTTATTATGGATCTGATTGAGAATTCTTAACAGATTAACAACACCCACAGTGGACATTAATATGTATAATTATCCTTTGTGGGGTATCTAGCAACTTTAAAAATTATGTCTGGGTTTTGGAATTGCTTGTTTTCAAGTTTCTTTTCCAAAAAGGTATTCTGGGGATCAAACTACAAGATTTCCTGTTTGCTCAGAATGGAATGAATAGTAATAATAATATATTTCCAAAAGATACAGCATGGTAAATATATTGCCCCTGTAAGGTGATAAACTGCAAATCTATTAAATAGCTGGTCCTGTCTTACTAAACTAGGAGACAACATAATGGTATTATGTTTTCACTTCAAAATCATTAGTTTATTCTAGAATCATGTACCTGTTGGCCATTTTTGAATTGCAGAAAGTCATGTAAATTTTTAGCATTACACAAAACAATCTTCTCAGTGCTGATGTACAATAAATAGTGTTCTACTTTCAAATACAGTATTTTACTTGGTTAATGTAGTCATACAGAGAAGCAACTTTTATATAAAATTGTTCCCCTGAAAATCTGTACATGAATAATTTTTCACAGAAATTGTTCAGTTCACTAAAGATACAAACTGGAAGACTTGGAATGTTACATTTTTCCCTGGGAGAATAGCCTATCTTTTAGCATTCATATTGCTTTTTTCTTTAGAGTCATATTCAGATTTCAGAACATCTGTGACTATTACTCCTGTTAAGCATCAGAAAATATGATTTCTTTCTAGATAGTGTTTCAGGGAATAGTTGTATTTTTCTCTAATAAGTTACGCGGTATGGTTTTTAGAATTCATTCAGCATTTTAGAATTATTTTAAAAGTTAAAATTATAAATGAGTGCATTTGGAATTTCCATAAATAAGCAAATGGAATCAAGTTCCAAGTAAATGATACTCATTACATTGATGACTTTGTATAAAATAATGAAAGGACTGTAAAATGGCTATTATTTGCGTATACCATGTTGAGTATATATAAACCATGTTGAGTATATATAATAAAGGAATGGGTATCATAAGAAAGCAATTTGTTTTCTTCTAATGTCATTTTAACATTTATATCTTTATTTAGTGACATCTTGCCTATAAAAATGGATCTGTCAGCAGGCCTACTACAGTATTTTTCTCAGACCTATAAGAGACTCCAGTCTCAAGAAATACTGCAAAGTAGTTCTACTTTTAAAAAGTAGTAATGAAATAACAGAATTATTAAAGCATAATAAGTATTATAAAAAATGTAAAATTTGAAACCAGAACAGTACTTAATGGAAAAGCTTTCAACAGGTAATAACCTGACAATTCAGGCAGTATTATCCAAAGGAAGTTTAAAGTATACAAGAACTTATAACAAAAAAGCTGTAGCATCATCAGAAAACTTTGTCAGTTTGGGAAGATGCTTTTTTTTTCTTTTTTTTTTGAGACAGTCTTGCTCTGTCACCCAGGTTGCAGTGCAGTGGCACAATCTCGGTTTATTGCAAGCTCCACCTCCCAGGTTCACACCATTCTCCTGCCTCAGCCTCCTGAGTAGCTGGGACTACAGGTACCCGCCACCATGCCTGGATAATTTTTTGTATTTTTTGTATTTTTAGTAGAGACGAGGTTTCACCGTGTTGGCCGGGATAGTCTCGATCTCCTGACCTTGTGATCTGCCTGCCTCGGCCTCCCGAAGTGCTGGGATTACAGGCATGAGCCACCGCGCCTGGCCTGGGAAGATGCTTTTCATTCATAATAACTGAAGGAAGATCACCTAAATCCATAGACCTAGATTCTGGATCCATAGTTCTCTAAAGGGGCCTCTGACTGGACTTTAGGGGATCCATGAGCAAGAGCACAAGTGCATTTTTCTGCCAAGCAGGAAGCATCTAGGATTTCACCTGATTTGCTGAGTGGTCAGTACTGGAAAAGCTTAAAATCTTTGGAATACTCGAATATGATACTTTAGCTGTTGATCCTCAACAGTTGACACAGCTTGCCAACCATATTTAGTATACAGTATATTTTTTATATGTTATTCCAAAAAAGAAATTACAATATATTCAGTAGACTCCACATCTTTTAAGAGAGATTATCCTTTCTAAGATGTCAAATCCTTGCGGAACAGCACATGAAAAGGTGGTTCTCTCCTCCAGGTGATTTTGTCTCGAGGGATTTTTGGTTGTCACAAGTTGGGGGCAGTGCTACTGGCATCTAGTATGTAGAAGTCAAGTATGGTGATAAACATCCAGAGCACACAGGACAGCCCCACACGAGAAAGAATTATTCAGCCAAAAAGGTCACGAGTGCCAAGGTTGAGAGGCCCTGGAATACAGCAACTACACTATAAAACCAACCTGGAATGTCTCCCAAATGAAACTGGTTGGCCTCAGTGAACTTCACAAAATATTTTTTATCAACGGTGGCAGATGGCAGTGTGATACTGCAAATCTTGTACTCAAAGTCTTTTTGTCTTTTTAATTCTTAAAATGTTTTAATAATTAAGATATGGAATATCAATATTCTAACATAATATTTAGAGAAACTATATGCTTCCTTCTTAAGAGGAAATTAAAATCTGCTTATGAAACATGGAGAAGTCTGCCCAAACATGTTAATTTGGCTTTCTTATTTGTGATTCTGTCACTTTTTTTTTTTTCTGTTCAGATTTACAGGCAAACATATGGGTGACATGGTATTTTAAGGTATTTTTCTGCCTAATATCTTAAGTGTAGCATTAACTTAATTCCTGAGAAAATGCATAATCTTCATGGTAAAATAATATGGATTACAAGGGTCTTAATGCAAGTGTTCTTTTGAATATGATAAAACTTGTGACTTTTAAACACAAACTGTGCCAGCATAGAGCCCTGAAAGGACCAAACACATACATGATGTAATACACAAAACATCTGCTCCAATTTATGGATTAGATGTAGACTAATCTCATAGGCACATATTTTTATCTCTAGTAGATCTTTAAAAAGTAAAAGGAACCCAGGCCTTTATTTAGCTCCTCATTGACCTTTTTCCCTGCACACTCTCATACAGGGATGTTCACAAGTTTTGAGAACAAATTTAGGAGTTTGAAGAAAACGAGAGTAAATCATGGAGAGTAGAAGACATTCCAAAGTGGTAACTGTAGGCTGAAAATGTAGCATCTGAACCTGGGAGGCTCTGATTGTCTACTATAGATGTGGACCTACTAACTGCAATGAAGTATCACAGTAGTGTCTGATAGGTAAGACTTAGCATGAGCAGTCAATTGCAATTCATGTTTTCATTTCCTAAGTATAATCTTCATAAATATATATTTGCATTAAAATGACTGGCCTATTAGGAAGTATTAACCAAATTAAACAAGATTACTTTTAAATATACAACCAAAATTAAGAGTGAGCGAAACCACTGAAAGTTGGAACTATGCTTTAAATATCTATTAATTCATTTATGGGTAAAGTTACCAAGTTGACAATGTATTTTGGTATTTCAGCAACAGCCTGATTGCATTCCACATTGGGCAGTTATTACACAGCAAGATGACTCTACTATAAAATAATTTTTAGTTATTTTTGACTTTGGCATTTGTCTCAAGTGACTATCAAGAAAGGCTAAAAATTGAGTCTAATAAAAACCTTTCTCTTCTTGCACAGTTTTCTACCTTGATCTGGTGACTTTGAGCAAGTTACCTAACTCCTTTGTGTCTTAGTTTCCACATTTATAAAATGGCCAGAATAATAGCACTTCCCTCATAAAGCTGTTATGAGGATGAAGTGAGTTTATACACATGGCACACTTGGAGCAGTTCCTGGCACAGAAAGTGCTCTTAAACACTGTGATTACTGTGTTCTTCTGCTAATAATTGGACAGTGGTTGCCCAACTGGATGGTATACTATTTTTAACATCTCTTCTATGGCCTGTAAGTCAAGAAAAGAGCCTGTTTCTGGCCCTGCCTTGGCCTTCTAAAAGTTAGTGGTGGTTTCTTATTTGTCTTTGCGACCCTGTCTTCAGAACAGTGACTTGATCTTAGAAGTTCAGTAAACATTTTCAATTACCTTCCCATCAAATTACTATTTTACATTAATAGTATGTTCCTTCCTACTCAATTCAATAGTTGGTCTCTTCTTGTATACCATAATTAAATCTAAAGAAGTAAGCATACCTAACATTTATGTGACTCACCTTCATCCAAATACCAAGACTGCCCAATTACTTCCTAACTGACCTAAAGTGAGAAATAGTCTATTCTCAAAATGTGATAAAATGGAATTGATTCCAAGAATGCCTATACTTTCAAACCATGTCATTTCAGCTTCAGATGTCAAAATAAAAACCATATTTCCTAACAGTGAAAAAAACACAATAATATTCTTTCTTTGAATATATATGGGTAGTAACTTACTCTTTTAGTCAGCTGAGTATCCATCATGAAATTGTGCACGTGTTTTTCTGCTTTGGTAAGTTCTAGCTTCCTTGCCACTACAGCTACCACCAGGGCTGTGCAACCAGCACCCTGAAAATAAGGAGAGAAGAGAAATCCAAAGCGTTACTACTTTGTGTCTCAGACACATTAGAAAATGTTTTGCATCAAATGCAAAAGTTTCTCAGGATTAAAAAAATAGTCTTCAATAAGTATTACAGAAAATGTGTGATCAACAAATGTAAGCAATGTGCCTTAAACTGGGATTAAAAATTTAGTTTACATATTTTAAGAACAAAAGCATATTTGGAAAAAACATTTCCATTACAAGAAATAAATGGCCTAAAAGCAACTTGGTGACTTTTTAAAAAACAGAGCAAATCAGTTATATACCTATAATTATAATAGAAACAAATAACAAATGAGTAGATTAGCATAAATGTATATGGAGTAGAAACAAGGATTTTTCTGTAAAGAATAAACCTCTAATCTTAAGAAGAGATCAGCAGGCCTTCAAGGTGATCAACCGCAATGCACTGGGAATAAAAGCAATAAATTATCTCAGCATATACACAGCTTCAGAGTGTTCCACACACACAAGAGGAAGGATAACAGGAAGATCACAGTGATCTTAACTTGGGCAATAGAGATATATGAAGTGCTGAAGGTAAGGGGTAACCATTATACTATTTTATAAGTTTACTAACATGACATGAGGAAAGGCACGGGTCATCTTCATTTTGAAAAAACCAACAGTGTTCCTTTTTGAATTACAGACCATTGTTCTCATCTCTTGAAAAAGAGAGTCTGTGTGGTACTCCCGCTCTGTGATCAAGTTGTGCTCATACCAAGTTGTGAGAGTTTTCTTTGCTGAAAGACCAGCAACTACTTGCTGGGGCCACCAACTGGAGGGCCCAGGCAAGGTCAAGGTACTGCAGCCACTTCATCAGTCCTCGGCACGGGGAACCTCCCAGCAGGGAAAGGGGCATGTGAGGAACTACCTCAGGGGTCTGTGAAAGGGAAATCACACCTCCAGATAGAATCTCAACCCTGAGAGGACCACAGAGCCATAGACATTGCCCAGCTAGTCTCAACAAACAGATAACAATGTAAATAGCAGGACACAGGCAGAGCCCACTGGAGAGAAGCACAGAAAGTAGATGTGATTTAGCTATTCAGTTATAGACCAGAGAATGCATCTTTGGGCTTACTGCATGAGTTGCTGCAACAAATCTGGCAGGAGGGACAAGATTGAGGAGAAAAGGAGAAAAATAAATACACTACCTGATCATTATGATCATGGAAACATGGCCACAATGATGAGCCAATACTGCTTTAATATATTTCCAGAGGGCTTCAATAACCTGTTCCATCTTGTTCTATGAAGAAATCAGTATCCTCAGAAAGCAAGTGCTACTGATCACATGATCAGAGAAAGAGGTTGCCAAGTATTTAGACATTCTGATTTAGCCCTCTGATTTTAGAGATGAGACAACTAAAGCAGAGTAAATTATTATTCAGTTATAAACCTTGATTAGCATTGACATATTTCCTACTCTTTACTTCATCTCTTAATATCTATATCTATATTTAGGATCACATACAGTTGAATCTCCGTATCCATGGATTCAACTGGATTGAAAATATTTGGGTAAAAAAATGGATGGTTGCATCTGTACTGAACATTATAGACTGTTTTCTTTTGTAATTATTCCTTAAACAATAACAATACTGTTTAGCAACTATTTGCACAGCATTTACATTGTGTGAAGTATTATAAGTAATCTAGAGATTAAAATACACAGGAGGATGTACCTAGGTTACATGCAAGTAATACACTATTTTATAAAGGACTTGAGCATCCGTGAATTTTGGTATTCATGGCAGGAAGTGGGGTTCTGGAACTGAACCCCCTTTAATACTAAGGGATGACTGTATATTCTTATTTGTGATTATTCCATAGTCATGATGCATTATGAAGCACTGTATTTCAAAGCAAGACAGGAAATTCAAATTCACCTATTTTATATGATAAAGTATGAACGTCTAAAAATCAAGCAATATGGTTAATTATCAAAATAATCAACATTGTTCCTATTTTGTAGTTGGCATAACTTTTAAATTGGTAGTTTTTAACCTTGACTATAAACTAGAATCACTTGGAGAATTTGTAAAATTCCTAGTGCTGAGACTGTGTGCCTCACAGCAAATCTTCATCTCCAGGGATAAAATCCACGTGTCTGAATATTTTTTTAAAGTTCTCCAGGTGATCCCAAGGTACAGTCACTGCTTTAGATAAAGGAGGATATGGAGTGACTGTGACAAGCTCCATTAACCTTCTATTAAAACAAGAGGGTCAAAATTCTTATAAAAGTCATTTGACTGACTTATGAAGACATTCAAGAAGTGATAAACAAGGTAAGTAAAGGCAGATGGTGTGATGTTATTTTGATGTTTTGTGCCATATGCAGACAATGAAAGCAAGGTATTTTAGATATGGGTACTAATGAAAGAAAAGAATGGCCTTTGGAAGCATCTCTACCCATTTTATTGACTTTCAAACATCTACCATGAAGTCTAAAGAGTTCTAGCAGGCTGATGAGACCAAATCAGTGACCACCCGTGATAGCATATGCTGGACAAACACAGGCTAGCCTTTTGCAGATATGCTCCTAGTTACTACTCCTCAATTGCTAAGTTCTATTGGAACTTGGCGGTTCAGGGCAGCAATGGTTCTTTAATAAGCAGAGGTCATAAAAACTTGAGGGGCTCCTAACTACTAGAGAGACAGCCATGAGAGGGTAGTTGGCATAAGAAGTTGAATATTGTTCTCCCCTGGCAGGTGGCCTCTGCTGAGATCTTTCTGGAAAGAAATCAAAATCCTAACAGGAATGGAAAATCACTGGAATCAAGAGCCTTGGACAGTGGATTTTTATTTGTGTTTATTCTTAGGCTCCATTCTTTTCTGCTACTGGCCCGTTTCTCACCGGGTGTCATCTAAGACATGGGCATTAAAAATGAGTATCTCTGTTGCAAATTGGAAAAGACATTAATCCACTAATTTAGTAATTAACTCTGCCCCTTTAAGTTATACCTCCAGAACCACTTAGAAAACTTCTTGTTCAAATACAAACTCCTTAACTCTTTAAGTTTTATTTTAGTGAAGAAAACCATAAACTTATACCTCCCTAGATTATTAAGTCATAAGATAATGTGATATGTATAGAATCACATTTCAAAAAAGTAACCTTTATTTTTTAATTTTTAGAGTTATGCAAGATGAAGCTGGCTCACTTCCGAAAGCTTTCTAGGTTCAAGGTAAATTCCTGCCAACACATTCATGGTTATAGTAATTTAAGTAATGGCATAATATTATTGTCCACCCAGTGTCTATTTCGAGGACGATTCTGTTTCATAAAATGAATAAGAATGGAAATAAGTATGATTTTACAACATTTTCTCCAAAGCTTGTCACCACCACAATCGATGTAGAAACAGTTGGGACTAACATATGTTACTCTCTGAAATTAAAATCCCTGTATGCATTTAACAAGATGAGTCATATTCCTTTCACCAAAGTCAGAAAATGTATCCTGGTTACTTTTCTCTCATTTCATTTATCTTCTTAGAAAAAACTTAAGCAAAATCACTAACTGCCACTTCAAGATGCTTGGGCATCTAAAAACAAAATGAAGAAAATGCAGTGTATTTCGGAAAGCAATATATTAAAAGCAAAGGTTTAGGTTTCCCTTGGAGTGTTTACCATCTTTCCTTCTAACAGAGAAGATGTTGAAAGAGACAAAAAGGGGTAAGTTAAGAGGGGCAGAGGGGGAGGGACTTTGCTTTACAAAAGTTAAGTAATGACAAGTGTTGTTAATGTTTACTACCCTAAGCCAAGCCAGATCAAACTGAAAAGACAAATGACAATTAGTTACTATTACCTATATACCTCTAGGGAAATCCCAACATGTGGGGATAGTCTTAGATGCTGCCAAGTTAAAATTAAAATGCAGTGCTTTTCTCCACTGTATTCTTCTCCATTACAGCACAGAAACTGTAAGCCCTTGGATGTAAAAGTAGTTTAGGTATCCCATTTCCCTCAAAATCATGTATCACATAATATTTGAAAAATTAAAATAAGTGACATATTTTTACCCTAAATCATCTACTTATGTTGATCCTGCAAATACTTGCAAGAATCATTTTGAAAAACCATTTTGGGATCAAGCTTTAATCACAAGGATACAAGCCTATGAAAAAGAGAAATTCCTTCATAAAGCACACTGGGTAAAGGTTTTGATTATTGCAACTTTGAAAAAGACATCTTCAAAAGATTCAACATAATAATGAAATTTATACCTTTTAAAGAAATTCCAGAATCTTTACCACTACAGAGAATGGCTCTGATAAAAAACACTAATATTCAAAATATTCTAGTCTTAAAGTATCCTCCTGTGGGATTTATAATAGCTCCTAAAAGTTCAAAATTCAGTTTGATAGTTTATGAGCCTATAATTAAAATTTATCAAAATAGTTAATTTGAAAAAAATCACGCTTTTATGTAAAAATAAAACAGCTTTAAGATCTTTCACAAATCAGCTTGCCCTCCGAAAGTAAGGTAAAACAAATACCTCAACACATTGCCTGTTTTTCTGTCCCTGGGGCTGACTGACTCAATGTCCTAGAACCATAAAAACATTTTTACTATACTTGACTGACATAAATAATTATTCTTTCATAAAAATATGTGAAACAATCAATTCTGGCAAATAACATGTTATAAACCACTCTGCTTTAATATTATATCCCATTGGAGTTTTGCAAGGTTTCCTCAGGTCATGAAAATAAATAAGGAAGTTTTGAAGACAAATTCTATCAAAAATGCCCTCTGAGTGTCTTAAAATACAAGTTGATATTTGCTACTAGAGGGTGGAGGTCAATTTCAAATGTCCTCATTGCAAGGAAAGCGGGGAGAGTGTGTGGTGTTTGAGCCCAGTGATTAAGCCTGGGCCTGCACAACCCAAGCCTCCTTTATAGTGATTTGCTTGCTCAGCTCATTCTTCTACTTTTAGGGTCAGAAAGAAGGAAGTACCTCATAAAACTGGTCATCAACAATGAGTCATCCCTGGGTTTAAATCTCCTGATCGCAACAGTGCCAGCATGACTGCAGGTACTTCAGAGATAGGAAAGGCAGCTCTGCCAATTAAAAGTGCTGATAGTTTAGAAAAATTAGGTGAAATTGTGGAGTCCATGAGCTGTGTACTAAAAGATCACAACTTCCAGCTATACTTTCCTGTACCTGAAAGAAAGCAGCTGTCGTATTTCTTAAGAAATTTTTTTTTTGCAATCCACTTATGAAATTTCTTGGGGGCAAGTGAAGATCCCCAAGAAAGGACATTGGTGAGGAATTTAGCCTTATGACTGAAAAGGCCCATCATCCCCTCCAGCTGCTCTGCACAAAACAGAAACTATTGTAAGAATTTAAAGATACGTTCTTCTCACTGGGGCTTTATTTGATGAGATTCAGTGAACACACTAGAAAGAACCAAAAAGCAAGCAAATCGAAAGTTAAAACCTCTTCAAAATGATTTGATACTAAACACCCAATGTCAAATTGTATAAGACATTTTAAAAAATGTGAGTGTTTTGCACACTCTCAAACATTCAACACCAAGGAATGGCTTCAGATCAGTTTCGCATTATTTCTATGTACACTGGAAGGGGAAAACAAATCCTCAAATGGAAAGAGAGAAAGTTACAGGAAGAGGAGTATAATGGGACCTTGGGTTTCGCATTCTTTCATACCAGTCATTTCTTTTTTATGAGCTGTAGCTAATTCGTGCTGTTTCGGAACACCCTCTTACCGACTTAACAGGGTAGTGTTATTGTTCTTCAGGATGCAAACTGTTTAACTGACAACTGATGGAGTCACCACGTGATGTTAAATTAAGATTTCTTCGGCACAGGGCAAATTTAATGTGGAAAGGATTATTATCAAATCTTAAGGAGAAGGCAAGGCTGTGTAAAGACTTCTGTTCTGAACTGACTTGTTTTTTTGCTCCTTGAATAAAATTTTAAAATTTAATTAGCATAGTGATTTTCAAATTGCTATGAACTGCAAAAGCTTTACGCAGTGCTTTTGTTTGCATAGAACTACTAGTGGGATGGAAGAAACCTCAATCACTCATGTCTGAAGTGTTCTTAGTTTTGTTGAGGGAGTCATGCTAGATGTTGTCAAAGTCTAGTGGTTTATAAATCACTATTAGAGAACCATTTATTGAATAACCACCTGCATCCCTAGGAATGAACAGATATTACTTGATATTTAAAGATAATTAAGCCAAAAAATCCAGTCATCCATACTGTAGTCAAAAGGCTACCAAGAGTCACCATAATTTTACAGAAATAGAGAAGCAAAAAGAACAAATGAGCAACCTTAATTCTAGTATAAGATGAAAGATACCCTTACCCACAAGGCTATTTTTCACTCTTGCAACAATCATATATATTCTTAGTAATGGGAGAATTCATAGCTTTCAGGATGTGTTTTTTTTTTATATATATATATATATATATGTATGTATGTCTAGGAAGATAACTTTGTAAACACTAAGTAAAACAATTACTTTATTGGAAAAATTAGAGACACTGAGAAACTAACTGGTGCTGTCCAAAAGCTAAGATAGCTGTCTACCACCATCAACCAAAAGTACAAAGCTACTTAGAAATCATCCCATTGTTTATCATGACCTTTTCAATAATAAACAGTCAGGTCCTCAGTACTTCCTCAAACAGCAGAAGGGTAGAAGAATAAAGAGAAAAAAAGTAATTACAACCATAATGGTTTTCTCTCGAAGAGTACTGAGTGATTTTCTTCTATTAGGCAATCCCATGACTTATTTTTATAAAAATAAAGAGATCTTGGTCTCTTAAGGTTTAATTCCCATATTGGTCTTGGATTTCTACATTCTCCATAGGAGTGTCTAGGTCACTTCCATCCATATGCTCTTGATCCCTAAGGAGCTGATGTGAGATGTAATCAACTACCAGAAGTGAATCCCAGGAAGACTGCCCTGTAGCCTAACTCCATGGGAATCTGCTTAGTCTAGAAGAAGAGATAATCCAACTCTACAAAGCATCTCAAATAGGTTACTCAAATATTAGTGAATTTCTCTGTATGCAAGTAAATCAATTTTGATCAAGTCAATTAGGAAATAAGTCTGATCCTTATGAAGGAGAGGAAATGGAGCTCCTCAGCCTCAGAATAGAGGGACTCTTTTTACCATGAGCTTACAGGGCTGGAAGGAAGTCACCATAAATTCCATTACATATAACATTTTTGTATCCACATATATTTAATAGTACTATAACCTCTCTCTCTCTCTCTCTCTCTCTCTTTCTCTTTTTTTTTTTTTTTTTTTTGAGATGGAGTTTTGTTCTTGTTACCCAGGCTAGAGAGCAATGGTGCAATCTCAGCTCACCACAACCTCTGCCTCCTGGGTTCAAGCGATTCTCCCGCCTCAGCCTCCCGAGTAGCTGGGATTACAGGCATGTGCCACCACACCCGGCTAATTTTTTAGTAGAGACGGGGTTTCTCCATGTTGGTCAGGCTGGTCTCGAACTCCCAACCTCAGGTGATTCACCTGCCTCGGCCTCCCAAAGTGTTGGGATTACAGACATGAGCCACGGTGCCAGGCCATAACCTCTCTTTTTTAAGCAAAGTAAGATCAATAGTGAAACCTAAGCAAGAGGCAGTTCAAGAAGGTAAATAAAAGATTTGTACTATCAGATGAGACTCTGAAGGAACAATTTTTGAGACACGAGTAACAAGAAAATATCAAGGAATGATAAACATTTTGTAAAACCCAGGCAAGGTTAACCTCAAATTTGGCTCAGATTCCATGGCGAATAAGCCTGTACACATGACCCTTGAGTCACACCTGATTTGAGAATAAAAGAGGGTAGCATCTTGACAAAAAGTAACACTAAGGAAGTTGTTTCTAAGAAGCACTAGGGGAAAGACTCTGCAATTACCATTTTTATAAACAGCATCATTTATATCCCTTGTGGGATTGTTATGGGCCTTCTAAAAATACATCTATGCAAATTACGTTTCCCAAAGCATTATACCACATAATAAAATGCTATTATTTGAGGAAAAAAGGGGAAGTGATCCAATAGTAAACAGATAATGCAGCATACCAAGTATTATATTTTTTAAAAAGTTCACTATAATTAAAACTATCATTTTTCTTTTAAAAGCAAATAATGTTAAAACATGCCCCCAAATTATATTTTCTACAATTGGGACTTGAAATGGCCATCTTGTTACTACTGGGACATTAAAATTGACCCTAGATTTTTATGTTCAAAGTTAGCTGCCTTATCCCAGTTGAACACTACTGAGGCGGAGAAGGGTGCTGCCTCCCTGTCTACGCCAAGGGCACTCTTTCCTTCCCATTTAGCTGTGACTCCTGGAGCAGTCTTCCCGGGCGGCTTCTACAAGGGTGTGCACCCTCCACTGGCCACCACTCAGAGGCCCTCAAATGGCAAGCCTCTGCACTCTCCTGCCAGCCTGTGAGTGAATACAGTTAGAGACGTTGAACAGGGTGCCTGATTTCAGAAATTCTGAGATTTTGGAACTTGCAGTACTCGTTCACATCCTCTTGTAGACAGAAACCTCACAAGGATCAAGATGACACTCTTTGCTGTAAGCAAACATTACAAAGTAGGTAAAGAATGCAGACAAGCGTAGGTCATTGAAAACTGTACACCTCTGGCTTAAATATTTAGAAGTTCATACCACATTATAATCACAGCTTGCTAGCGTACGACTTCCTCTACCTAAAACAAATGGAGCAAAGAAGCGGTCCTGGCTAGTCATGTGTGGAGGGGCAAAAAAGATGTCTGAGCCTGTTAGGCATGTCAGCCAGAAGAATGATGGCATGTCAGCAGCAGACCTTTCCCAAGTGCTCTACAAGACCTGGCCTCCTGTCCCTGCCTCATGCCAGGCCGCTTTCCCCTTTTGCTCTGTGTACTCCTGGCCCAATGACCTGGCTCCAATGTACTGAGCTCCTTCTTGCCTCACTGCCTTCAAATAAACCATTTCCTCTTCCTGGAAAGCTCTTCCTACCTCCCTTCCTGGGTATGCACCCTTCTCACTTCAGCGTAAAAGTCAATTTTCTAGTGATGACTTCTCTGAGTAGATCCCATCCCTCTACCCCAGGCACAAAACAGGTTAGAAGCTTTACTAGTTCACAAATGTAATGAACCATTATTTTTAAAATGTAAGTCTTCCCTCGTAAGCTCCATGAAGACAGGGCAGTAAGTTTCTATCTTCTTTTGGTGTATTCCTAGAACCTAGGTCAGTGCCTGGCACTCAACAAACATTTGTTAAAAGAAAATGAAATATTATAATTAATATATCTTTAACCCTTCAACACATTTCAAGATAGTTATTATGGGTCATATTCTATAATTTACTCAAATTTGCACAGCTAGTAGGAGATGGGAGGACATAGACTTAAAGGACTTTCAGACTCTGAAGCCAAAGCTCCAACATCAAATTAGTTCATCAAATTAGCGCATGCCCCCCCAAGGGGCAAACGAACAGCTCTACCTCTTCAACAGAATTTCATGATGAGAAGAATTAATATGAAAACTATTGACATTCTCTCTCAACACAAAATTGATTTATTTATACTGATTTCCTGCTGATGGGGAAAAAAAGTAGCTCACAATTACTTATGCACGTGGACTGAGTGGTTTAAGTGCCTTCTTGAGTGTAAATAAAAGAGATGTGAAGTATAAAGACACTTACCATAATTCCAGTAAGTAAGCAGACTCCTTTTCCACAGTATGTGTTAGGTACCATGTCACCATAACCAATGGAGAGAAAAGTTATTGATATCAACCACATCGCTCCAAGGAAGTTGCTAGTAACATCCTGTTGATCATGGTACCTGAAAAACAGCAAACAAAGCCAGTCCTTTATAATGAATCTCTAATATGATAGTTAAGAGTGGTTTGGTTCAATTCAATGAATTTACTGTATCTTCTACAAACTGCTATATTTAGAAGTTTTCAAAGCTTGTGAATATAAATAAAATTGAGCTTCCATCTAAGCAATCCACAACATCAGAAACTGCCTCAACTTTATAAATCATCTGAAAGAGACTGGAAAATATGAAACAGATTTCCTCACTGGTGTAAGACGATACAGGCACATTAATCTTGTAGACTCCTCCGGCCTCTGCCCATGTCTCGTTACTCTTTGCCCAGCTGATGTGCCAGACTTAGGAGACAATATGCAGCTGCCCAATCTCACTCCACTTCTTTGTAAGCAAAATGAATCATGCTGTTCCCTTTGCTTGGACTGTCCTTTGCTACCTTGATTTCCTGAAGATGGGCTAACTCCTCTTCATCTTTCAAAGTAAGTTCAAGTGGAAGCCTTTTCTGTCTTCTCTTCCCCTCAGTGCCTCCCCTGTGCTCCCTGAGTATCGTGCACATCCCTAGATCATGGGACCATATTATAATAGGTCAATCTACCTGGATGTCCTTCATCCTTGAACACAGAAACGGTACTTCTGATCACAGAGTTCCTGCCCATAACCAGAGCTTAATAGAAGCTGTCTTACCAGTTACACACAAAGAACTTATAGTGGAAAAGAGGGAGAGGGATACAAAGTATCCTAATCATTGTTTGAGGTGTCAAATTTTACTGGTAAGGAAGAAAGCTTTTATATCAGAAACAGGTATCCTATCACATTTTGGCTGAATTAACAGTACTAAACAGTAACCCTCTGTGCCCATGATCTGGATACTGGTTTCATACAACAGCATGTATGCATACGACAGCAAGGCCATGAGAGTTGTCACCCTAGAAGAATTTGCTCTGGACGCACATTCTGTGTGGTCATGGGGCAGAGAGGCCCTGCTCTGATTTCTATGACAGTCAGGCTCCAGACTCTGGTCACTAGAGGACTTCCTTGCTTTTCATCCACCACTGGAAAAGACCACCACTCCTTCCCATCTCTCAGGTAACACTCGGAGGACTTTCCTTTCCTCATTTCTTGTTCTGCAAAATATACTGGTAATTGTGCTGTACTCATCATCTCCTGCTTCGCTCACTCAGTCCTGCCTTTCAACTCAATTCCCCATCTGTGTCTGTGCTGCCAGGGCTGTGGTGGCAAGGAGGCTGCTCCTAGCCACAGTCCCAGGATTACCAGAGCCCCAGGATTAACCCTATATGCAACCTACACTGGGCCATGACACTATCTATGCTTTTTTCTTTTCTTTTTTTTTTTTCCTGTCCCTCATCCCATGCCAAGCTTCCTGCTTCAAAAATTTAAAAAATGCAGATTTATCTTATATCACAGGGTATAAGCTTTTCGGCACAATATCGGTAGATCTTACACTCTATCTTTGGACATACAAGAAACCTATTCTTATCACGTCTGTCCCTTTGCCCTCTTCCAAAGAAGAGAGAAGCTGAGAAATTCTGTTTCCTGCTACTGTGGACTAAGGAAAGAGGCTCCAGGCTAGAGTGAGTGGAACCCCAGAGAAAGGGCAATCACTGATCTCCTGGAATCAAACGAAAGGGTATGTGAACAGGCAGCCAGCCTGGTGAGGAGCATCCTGCAAGTTTCTGGTGGCAGAGGTGCAGAAATCACCACTGTTTCTCACCCCCAAACAGCCTCCATGACCTAGCTGTAGAGTCCCCTTTCCCCAGAAGGTCTTGGTGTAGAGACTGTCATTGTCAAAAGGAAAGTAAAATGTATTCCTAGCATTCCAGGAAGACGGCTGAGTGCATTTCCCCTAGAATCTTTGTTATCTTTGTTACATACCTAGGAAGATGCTATGTGATCAGTGCTATGCTCAGCCACAAGATGAGCTAAGCAGGATTCTATGGACTGCTCTGGGAGCCTGCTATGCATATGTAACAGAGCTTCAATGGGAGGACAGGGTTTGCCTTTCAAAATAAAACCCGAGAAATCAGCTCTGGATTATAACCTATTAATAATATTGGGGCTCTCTAGTAAGTATTCCTCACCAAGCAATTTCCTAAAACAGGAAATATATTACCCTGTCATAAGTATGGGCTGTAAAGAGAGTGGAGGCAAAATAGTTCACTTACTATTCAATTTTTAACTGTGAGATAAAGCTTCTTCTTAGCATGATTCATACACAGATGTGATACACTTAAGAGTTAATGGCTCTGGTTCCCTGATGCGTATGTATGTATATACCATACTTACTGAGTGTTCACTATGTGCTCAGAGCTTAACTTGCATTTTCTCATTTGACATATGTTTTAATGCATGGACAATCTTTGGCGAAACAGTTATATTCTTGACCTTCTCTGTATCAGCAAAGTGTCCTTAGATACTTAGTTTCTAGACACTTAGAAAATGTGCCTGGGTCCCAGTGAAATCCTCAAGTTATTTTTTCACTGCTACAGTGAGTGACCAGAACACTGTTATTAATATCTAGCTAGGCTGGCCAGGCACGGTGGCTCATGCCTGGAATCACACCACTTTCGGAGGCCAAGGTGGGTGGATCTCCTAAGGTCAGGAGTTCAGGACCAGCTTGGGCCAACATAGGTAAATCCCATCTCTAATAAAAATACAAAAATTAGCCAGGTGTGGTAGTGTGCGCCTGTAGTCCCAGCTACTTGGGAGGCTGAGGCAGGGGAATCACTTGAACCTGGCACGCAGAGGTTGCAGTGAGCCAAGATTGCACTGCCACTGCACTGTAGCCTGGGTGACAGAGCGAGACTCCTTGTCAGAAAACAAAAACAAACAAAAACCTACCTAGGCGTGGTTTTCATAGAGCAGCTAACTATGAAGAGAAGTAGGAGATTTCATCTGACAAACAAAGCTTTCAAGGGGGTACCTTCATGGCCGTTGCTGCAGGGAAATTTCAACTTTGGCACAGGTGTGAAAGTCTTTCTAATTTCTTCCTCCTGTAGCCCTTTTTATTAAAAATGTTTTTCAGAGTTGGGGGCAGTAAATGACTAAAAACTACAATGTAAAGCATCCACTGGAACATTTAGGCAAGCTAACTCTTTAGACACCTTTAATAAATGCTCAAATCTTATATACACAAATTTCTTCCATCCTTATTGGCCAAATACTCTCAAGAAATATATCATTAAATCACTCAGTGAATATTTACTATATGCTGTGTGCATTACACTGCATCAGAGACTGTCATCCTGCACTGAAGGGCTTTACATAGAAACAAGCATCTTTCTAGGAGTTGGCATTTTAGGGTTTGGGATTCAATGATAAGTCATCCTTTTTGCTTACAAAATAATAAACCTGCCCTAAAAAATAGCTCAGAATAGAAAAATAACATCTCATACTAATGTTTATGTTACATTCAGACATACACGATTATGAATATTCAAGATGAGGTAATCAGGAACCAAATTAGATACTATAAGAATAATCTCCTATTTTGTTTTTCAGCAACTCAGAAACAAATATTAGACTTTTCACAGGATGGTATTATAATTTAGAACATTCCCAGGTTTTTAATCTATGACAGATTCACACCATTGTGAATGATTAATATATATAATGTTTAAAAATATTCAAAAGATTTTTTACAGAAGTTCACTTCACAGACTTAGACAATTCCAAACTTCTTCTCTACAAGAACTATTCTGAGAAAGGCATGAAGAAATGACTTGTACAAATTTCAAGTTTTGATCAACATGAATGCTGATTTAATAAAAACACATTCAATAAGATTAAAATTAGTGCAAGGAATGCCCGATAATCCCAAGCTTTTAAAATGAGGACTTTGGAGTTTTGGCATGAACTGCATGCTTCAGAGACAAAGATTGTAAGATCAGCTTTAATGTTTTCAAAGAAGCAAAATGTTCCTTTTCTTAGTTTCTATTCCAATTCATTTCTGCGTTCATTGCTGACTGAGGGTCTCACACTCTGTCTTAGATTACAAATATGACAGCTTTCTATGACGTTTGTGAGAGTTCACAGGAGTTATCTTTCCCAGGGAATCAGTGCCTTCTTCCCCAGGAGAGTGGCGGCCTCTGGCCTGCGCTCCTGCCTAGCCTCAGCACCCACACACTAATGGCCGGCAGTTATGCTGTTCTCTTTTACAGCTCTCTTTCTCTGCAGGTGTGTTTCCTTCTGCTGGGAAACATGTTCCCCCTTCTCTCTAACCCTCGTTTGTACTTTGATGATCTGTCTGTGGGTCCCCTTCTCCAGACTCCCTGTAGCTTTTGGTCAGCATGATACTCCAAGCCTGGTTCCCTCACTGTATCCCAGGAACATCTTGTAGATATCTCTAGCACCATTCGATGTTACTTTGGGTCATAAGACAGGTAATGTGGAATTTGCTCATCTAACATGCCCTTAGAATAGAAATTATGAAGAATTGAAAGACAAAGACTATGCCTTATTCATCGTGGTATAGTCACAGATGCTTACAAAAATATAGCAGGGAATTAATATTCGAAGTAATTAGTGTGACAAAGGGAAACATGTCCTCAACTTGACTTGCCCTACGCCACAGGCTTGATTTTTAGGATCATATACACAGATATTCAAAAAGTGGATAAAAATAATTCTTGCTCATCAGTGAACATAAATTGGATTTGTCATATTACGTTCCAAGATCTGTGTGCAACTTATAAGGTATTTTTATACCTGTAAAAATAATTCAGTCATGGAGGTTAACAGCTAACAAACTGTGTTCATTAATCCTTTTCTATTAAACTTACAAGTAATACTAAAAATGGCAAAAATATCTCATCTCAAATGTCAGCTCTGGTCTCAAATGTCAACCTTAGTTAGTGAGAAGTATTATGGAGATATAAATGCATGTGATCAATCCACCATCAGTTCTCTTTCTGGAATCCACCTGTCTCCTGAAACACCATTAAAGTGACAGCAATGCATTTTTTTAAAGGTGTAAACCAACAAGAACAAAG